TACAGTTCAATGTGTTAGAGAATTCTTGTGATTTTATACCAAAGAAAATAGACAAAATGAAAACATGTTCAACTTTTCTAGTAAGAATAAACTATCATTAGATATATGCACAATAATGCTCCAATTATAACCCTATATGTATTTGAAAGATGCTGAATTTTAAGCGGAGAAAATATTATATGAAGTAAGATTAAAGATCCAAACCATATTTATATCATTTAGTTGAAATATATTTATTTAATTTTAAATTATCAATAGCCTAAAGATAATTGAAACCACTCATTCCAATCAATGAGAAAAAAATATATGGACTGATAGTATATGAGTTTTATAAATTATCACTACATCAACTATTATATATTTTTAATGATTAGTGACTCTTAAAAAAAGTAATACAAATAAATGATGAATGATATAACGACCGTGTATAAATCTTAACGAGAAGATAAACTATTGAGAATGCCGCCCCACCATTGTTGGTTTGCCATATGTCAACCAAACTTCGGTTCAGTTGACTTTATTAATGAATTAAATTAGTAGTATGAAAGGAACAAAAATCAGCTTTAATTAGTGGATGCCACTTTCCACCACCAAATTAACCAATTAAAATAGAGGCTCTTATTAAGCCTAACCTAAAGACATAATACTAGTGGACACAAATATTTGTTTTAATTATAGGGAATCCAATTGTTTGAATTAGTGAGTCGATCTAAACCATTAGATTTTCCTAGAATTGATGGCTAAAAAAGTTACTCTTTGAGTAAGTGTTTCTACACCCTAATTTGTTCATAGGCAAAAAAAAAATTTAAAGGGAAAGGAAGAATACAACTATTGAGATTTAAACCCAAATACTCACACCACTTAATATACTGTAGTTATCGACCAAGTTGAGGTAACTCTAGGTATAATTAAATATACATATTATTAATTACACACGAGTATGGTTTAGGGTCATTTATAATTAAAATATAGATTCATAGGAAGGAAGTGTGTAGAAGAATAGTGTTGTAGCTATCACTCATTTGAATAGGATAAGAAATAGGTTCATCAAAGGCCTAAAGCTATTTTAAAAAACAAAATAATGAACCAAAATTGTCTAATTCAATGCTTTACCATGAGCTTTGGATACATGAGATATTTGGAACATGATTATCTCATATAATGATCTAGAAGGTGAGATGAACAATCATTGTGCCAGAGTTCATATTTTCTGAAGTATTAAAAGATCCATTATTAAATAAAGATACTGATATCTGAGATAAATGTATTTTTAACGATTTAAATTATAAATATATATGAATTGAATAAATTCAAAATTACATATATATATATATATATATATATATATATTATTTCTTTATTATTAATACTAAATGTAGAGTATAAAGAGATGATCCTAATTGTTGAGGTAGCATGTAATGTACTTTTCTAATGAATGAAAGCCTCTATTAGTGTTAGGTCTAATCCAATGGGCTTCTTATTTGACAGGCCCAATAATTAGTCCCACCCAAAACATAAGTTGATTTTGTAGTTCGACCAAAAAAAGAAAACAAATGCTGATTTATAAAATAATAATGTAAATAGTAATACTAAATCTTCTTACCAATTCTCCTGTCAATAAGAAAATGACACACATAAGTTAATAAAAAATATCACTTTATAAAATATATTTATTTTTTATAGATAAGAAGATCTAATAGAAATATATATCATTTCACTGATGAAAGAAACCATAGTTATTAAAACCGTTCGTGCCGGCCGGTTGAACCGGTAAACTAGTGAACCAGTCTCAATATCGATACGATACAATAATTATACGGTAAAAACCGGCCAAAACCGGTTATACCGACCAATTTTCAATTGAACCGTACCAGTCGTACCAGCCGGTTTTTATTTAAAATTAATTTTTTTAATAAAATAAAAATAATTATTGTTTTTTATTGATTTTTCAACATTAATGTTAATATATTATATATATATATTAAACTGTTATACCACTGTACCAGTACCCCTATTAATTTAATGACCAATACAGTATTAGAAACTACTAAAGAAAATATGTATTGCCCGATGCCCAACATGTTCCCCGTCTTCCCTCAAGCCTCAATAAAAACACATCGTTTTTTTCTTCCCAATCCTTATTTATTAGGCATTTTTATTTTACTTGATCATTGGACGGACCCCACATTTATTAGGTTAACTAAAATTAAATGCACTTTATAAGTAGAGCTAAGTGGAAAAAAGTCATTGATGGTGTAATAACTTTTTTACTGTATATTTAATCATCACTCATTTTTAAAATAAAATTAATACATATGATTTATAAATGATAAATGGATAGTGTAAATAAAAATGCATAAATATTGATTTATATATAAACATTAAATAATTTTACTTATGTGTCTTTCATTTTTATACCTCATTTTAACCCCACCCACCATATTAAAATTTAACCCACTTTTTATTTTTTTAAATAGGAAAAAGAATCCTTAATCATTTATATCAGATATATTTAATCATCACATTCTAAGAAATATAATTGTGCATAAATATATTTATTTGAATCTTTTCTAAAGCTACCCCACTCTTTCGAATAATATTTTTTAATTCAAATTATTGAATTTTCAAAAAATTGATAGTTAAAATGTGAAATAAATGAATCATTTCCTATTAATTATTATTTGGGTGGTTAATATTTTATCCAAAAATTTGATATTTTTGCACTTTTCACCCTTTTCCTTTTTGAAATAAATATTTTCCTCTCCCAACCGTTACAAACGTGTAATTACTGCGCGTGCAGGTTCCCCTCCCGATTGTGGTTAGGGTTTATCTGCATTTCAATTTCATTCCTTTTTCTCACGCCGCAGTGTTGCACACTCGCTCAATTTAAACGTCGTAATCAACATTTCACTCTTGCTTATGGAAATTTCGAATTCTAAAGACATCGTATTCAACATTTGAATTCCAAAGACACAAAACGGTACCGTTTTTTCTCCTCCTTTACACGATATTGATACTCTATTTCAAAAATTGAACTTGTTATGAATGTTAATTTGGTTTTGTTCTTTCACTTTTTGCAGATCATGGTAGAAGGAGGTAATGAAGAGGAACTTGAATTCAAATGGGGAACAAAGGGAAAACGAGGTGGTAAAAAAAAGGATGTGCAATTTTATGAATCGTTTCGATATGATGGTGTTGATTACAAACGTTATGATTCTGTGTATCTCTACAAGGAAGGTGAACCTGAACCTTTTATTGGAAAAATCATAAAAATTTGGGAGAATGCTGATAAATCAAAGAAAGTGAAGGTTTTATGGTTTTTCAGATCGTGCGAGATTCTCAATTTTTTGGAAGGGATTGATCCGTGTGAAAATGAGTTGTTTTTAGCATATGGTGATGGGTTAGGGCTTGCAAATATCAATCCTCTGGTAATTGGAATTTCGTTTTTGCTATCATTATGAAATTGAAGATTTTCGATAATTAAGTTGATGTTGATAACTATGGTGGGAGATAAGGTTGTTTGTTTGTTATTTTTTATGATTTTTGATTTTCTACCTTTATCTTTCTCTTTTGTGATGTTATGATATAGAACTATTCACATTAGTTATTCTTTCTTGGGATTTTATACTGTTCAATTTCATTGTTTTTAATATGTTGCTGATCAGCAGCTTGAGTGTTGTTGTTGAGTTAGTTCCTTGTGTGAAATGTGAGTATATATATATATATATATATATATATATATTTGTGTGTATATATTTTTATTTTTTTAGAAGAAGAAAAAGAAGACCCATCAAGGGAGAAGAGAAGAGTAAAATGGAATAGGATAAGATGTCCTCATAGGAGGTTGAAGTGACAATCGTCGTTCATATTGAAGACTGAAATGTGGGATTGTTATTAGAGATGATTTTCACAATAGGGAAATTCAAGTTATATTACCAATGTGTGTTGGTCCAAGTGGAAGGGGCTTGGTCCCCCCTTAAACATGTTGTCTTGGGTTTGATCCTTGACTTCATGTGCATGGAAAAACACTGCTTGTAGGAGTTGTAAGGGTTCCTTCTTAGATACGTAACTAATGGTACCTTTGGAGGTTAGTCTCACATTTATCATGTGAGAGGATACTTGGTAAACAAAAAACATGGGTCAACTAAATCTTAAATACCTGTTTATTTCCGTTCTTGTGTTTGTTTTTGGACAAGATTTTTGTCACATAAATTTTTTATTGGAGCTAGCTTTTTCTTTTAGCGATGAGCCCTTCATTTAAGTAGAACTGTGAGTTTTCCTTTTTAGTTTTGAGTTGACTAGTGAAATCTATCTTTAATTTAATTGTGGCTATGTATTTGTTTATTTGCATCAGGAAGCTATTTCTGGGAAGTGCAACGTTGTTTGCACTGCTAGGGATAGTAGGAATCCTCAATTATCGGATGAAACCCAAAGTGCTGAATTTGTATTCTGTCGTTTCTTTGATGTTGGGAAGTGTAAAATCTTGGATAAGATAGATGATGATAAGGTTGCTGACATTGAAGGTACGTAATTGTTCTGGAATAAGTGTAATTTTTCCCAGTTTTAAAATTTTGAGTATCTTATGGATTTATTTCTTTAATTGTTGCAGTTAAAAATATTTTTAACAATTTAGATAATGAAAAGGTCATTGGTGTCGTGACACTTGATTTAAACAAGAAACAAAGTAGTGGGAAATTCATGGCGAGTAATGAAGTGGTGGATCTTCCGAGTCAAAACAATAGCCAACCTATAATTGGAACGACTAATGGCAAGGGTTTTGTCACATTAGTTAGAGAAAATGTTGAGTCTAAGCCTTTGGTAGGAGAAAATCATGTCTCTTGTGATGGTGTAAAAGAAACAAGTAAATTCAGTGACAAGACTGTACAACAGGTTGAAATAAAAGGGAATAGGGTTTCTAAGTCTTCTTTGGTTAAGAAAAAATCATCTACTAAACTATATGATAGTTCTAAAGATAGTGGAACAAGGGAAATAACTAAGACAAATGATAATCGGAGAAATATCTCCATTGAGAAGACCCCATCAAGGTCCAAGGTTGATTCAGAAAAGGGTGAAGGGGAGATTTTTGGGAATCTTGTTGGGAAAATTAACAAGGAACTGGTCGAAGAAAAGGTGGAGAAGGAAAAATGTTGTGATTCTATTCAAGTATCTAATGAGAAATTAAAGAGTAACTTGCAAAGTCGAAGACTTGTTTCCAACGATGCTGATGTGAAGAAAATAGCTTTGCCTTCCTCTAAGGTTGATTCAGAAAATGGGGAAGGCAATGATGTTGACAGACTTGTTGGGAAAATTAACAAGGGGTCGTTCAAGGAAAATGTGGAGAATGAAAAATATTGTGATTCTATTGAAGTCTCTAATGAGAAGTTAAAGAGTAGCTTACAAAGTGGAACAATTGCTCCCAATAATGGTAATGTCAACAAAATAGCTCAACTTTCGTCTAAGGTTGATTCTAAAAATGGTGAATGCAAGGTTGTTGGCTCTCTTCTTCGGAAAATTAACAAGGGATCAATCGAGGAAAAGGGGGAGAATGAAAAATGTCGTGATTCTAACTTGCTAAGGCAAAGACTTCTTTCCAATCACGATGATGCGAAGAAAATAGCTCAGGCTTCATCAACGGATAAATATAAGCTTCAACGAGTAAAGGATTTTTTTGAGGGAGAGGAAGTTCCTTCGAAGAAGTTAAAGCTTGACCAGAAACCAATGGAACTATCTGATGACAAGTTGCGCAAGAATCCTGCAACTTCTCCAAATTTGGAACAAAAGTTAAATCGTTTTGTAAAAGAAGTTACTAGGCGACCTGACACTGTAAGTTGCATTGCAAGGACCATCGCCTTGTCTTGATAGTTCTTGTCCTTTTGATTATCCTATATACCTTAATACTTCAACAAATAACCAAGATAGAAGCATTGTTCAACCTTGGTGTAAACAATCACACATTTAAATCTTGGTATAAACAATTATGCGTTTAAATCTTGGTGTAAACGATGATCTTGTTGTATTTTACCTCTACTAAGCTTGGTCCACCTCAATGCTTAGGCTAACCTAACCGGCATACCATTGGGTATGCTTGTGGTTGGGGTTTTAATCACCCCATCACCCATTAATTTTACCCGATTAGGTCAAAATAGGGCTTCGCCTTAAACCAAAATAATAAATAAGGCAAAATCTATCAACAATCTAAAATTTTGTGCAATATCCATAAACAAGAAATTGGTATGTCACTAGAGTTATTAATGTTTGGTTTAATTCCTCTATTCACTAATTAACAATTTGCAGAATTCAAAAAGGTCCCTATACTACTCTTTCTCAAAATAGGATCATATACTAATCTTTCTCAACTAGGCCCCTTGACATATGAAAAATGTGTACTTGAATTCTCCATGCACGTCTTCGTTCTTGTCAAGTTTGTGTTTACAAACTTTACTGAAATGTATATGGATTTGTTTGAATTTCTATAAAGTTTAAGGACCCACTAGCGGATGAGTGATTCATTTACAAATGCTATATTTAGAATTTTGGAGGGGGATGGTTTTGAGTGGAACATATTGGGATGGAAAGTGAAGCGAAAGGGTGGGACAAGATATTTTCATACTATTGTTTTCTTTGCTAAAAATACTTCTACACTATGGAACCTTGATTTATCCCCTTCCATTTCCTTTTTACTCCAACCTTCGGACACAACATCAAGGGAACCGTGATGGAAAATTAGTGCAACCCTAATGAAAATGGTTATGTAGGACTTACAACAACGATCAAGCCTTAATCCCACCATGTTGGGTCAACTACATGGATCGAACGTCAGTATAATGCTCTATCGCAACTCATGTTCACTGACAAAGTATTGATCTCTAAATATTTTCTAATCGTTTCACCTATGGTTTTCCTTGGACCCCCTTTTCCTCTAGGAATTTGGCTAACCTCCATTTGAAATATGTGTGATGGATTTCCAATTTTTCATATGGAAAGGGTCTCAATTAAATACCTTTTTAGTGTAGTGTCTATTTGCATTACCATAGTGATTTAACGGATCATAAGAGTAATTGGACCTTATTTTTCACTAACCCTAAATTTTTTGTCGCCTTTTTAATGGGTAGCATTATATATTTCACATTTCTTATAAATTGCATGAAACTGCCATGCTTGAAATTTTCAATATTGATTTTTAGTGGATATATCAAACTTATTTATTGTAAAGCTTTCATAATGATAGTATGTCATTAACTTGTAATTTGGCTAACTTTCCTGCATTTTTGTTGGACCTATTGATACAAAAATAGATCAAAAATTGAGATCGATGTAATTTACAGAAATCTTAGGTGTCCACACAATTTAATGATATCACTACTGGTATAAGTTTTGGGATGACACTTCTGCCAGTCAAGAGGCTGTTTATTGGGGCTATTATTTATTTCTTATTTAAGTAATGCCTAAAGAGAGCGAGCCTCGCTTAATGACCAAGAGGCTTGAGAATACATCTACCCTTCGCTTGTGAGGGATATGACCGCATACATCTACCATTCCTAGACCCCACTGGGCTTGAGATTCGTGCAATGGCTTTCCTTTTTTTAGTTTTAGTAATGCTTAAAACTCCTTAAAGTTTGGATAATTTGGCTCTTATGAAGCAACTAAGATCTTATGGCAATGTTCATGCTCTATCTACATTATTATGTGGTGCTTATGGTTGAAAAGGAATGCTAGAGTTTTAAGGAAACCGTTTTTGACTTAAGATCTTTAGTGTTTTGCTCATGATCTCTTTGGTGTGGTTTATTTATTTGGTAAGCAAACTTTTACATTAGGGGATGGCATGCCCAATGCAAGGCCCATGGTTGACCACCAATGTAAATGAGTATTTCTAATGAAATTTACATATCGTCAACCAACATGGTAAATTTGAGAATTGAACCCAAGTCACATAGAATGTTAAGTAGAAGACTTAGCCTGATGTTGATGTTAACAAGATTCACACACTTTGTTGAAATGCCTAGAGCTCTTAGTTGGTCTTGGATTTTTGCTTCTTTAGTATATCCAAGAATCAACCCACGACATATGCTTTTTGCAGATGATATTGTTCTATTTGGAGAGTCGATAGAAAAAAAAATGGCAAGTTAGAAATAAGGAGACAAAACTTCAGGAGCACATTACTTTGAAGTATATGACATATGAGATTAGCATGTATACTAATTGTAGCCTAGCAGTGTAAGTTGGTAACTATATCATGTCACAAAATTTAAGTATTTTTTTGGGCCCTCATGGGAGTTTGACGGGGAAAAAATATAAGTTACAACTTTCAAGTGGGGAAAATCAACCGGAGGAACAATTTTGTTATTTGTGATAGAGACGTACCACTCAAGTTTATTGCTACGCCTATATGGTCTATGTGTTGTATAAGAAAGATGTAATGTTGGACGTGAAGAGGATAAACTCATTGTGCAAAGATGGAAATGTTGTAGTGGATGAGTCGTCTTAATAGACAAGTTAGGATGAGGAAGGAATGCATTACAAAAATGTTGAGGTCACACTTTGTGTAAGAAAGATGGTAAAATCTCACCTGAAGTGATTTGGGCATATTTGAAGAAGACTTTTGCAAGCCCTAATAAGAAGAGTACATAAGATGGAGCATGGAGGGTAGCCCTTTAGTTAAAGATCGAAGTAGATCACACACAACTGTAGGTAAAACTATTGAGATGGTCAGAAGGATTTAGATTTAAATGATTTGTATATAAGCATGATTTATAGTAGTACATCTTTTGATCCATGTAGAGGATAAAGGCTCGATTGCCATTGTGAGGATGTCTTACCCTCCTTTTTTGAATTATTATCATCTAATAATGTTTATATTAAAAAGGAACGCCTTAAAAACTACGATTTATTATTATTTTTGAATTGATGAAAATGAATGGAATGTGGGATGAGATGACACTACATTCTATTGTTTGGACTGTTTACAGTAGGATGAAATGAAACATGGAACAAAATGAAGCTTCATGGAATGGATGCAACATATTATTAACTCCATATTCCTCCATTCTATCATAGATTATGTAAACAATGGTATAATAATATCGTTTCATTCTATTCCATTCTGCTCCACCCATCATTAAATATTCAAACATAGCCTTAAGGAGTTTAGTATTTGACGATCTTTTACGTGTGGAGCACATTGCATAGATGGCACAGATAGTTGTTTTGTTCTTGCACACTTGCTTTTGTCTGAATTTTAAAGAGGGTGAAAGAAGGAAGATTATTTAGATTGGCATCTACAGATTGAGAGTAATAAAAGAAGTTTTGAGTTGTATATTCTAATTTACTTTGTTAGGATACAATTTTCATTACGTTTCTGTATGATTTCCACTTGATGATAATTGGAGTGGGGAATCCTCATATTTTCAAAATTGAAATCATACACCAGGAACAACCAAACCTTAGTCCCACTAGGTGGGTCACCTACATGGATCTAACGACACTATAATGCTCTATTGTTAATCATGTTCTTTTGCATAGCAATATCTCTAAAAAATTCCTAGTCGTTCAGTCTATGGTTTTTCTTGGCCTTCCTCTTCCTCTAGAAATTGGACTAACCTTCATTTGATCCATTCTTCTTATTAGGGCTTCTAACGGGCCTCCTCCACACATGTCTACACAATTGTTCTTGTCAATTTTTATTCTCAATTTTGGATGATTTTAGTTACCTTGATGCATGCTTATTGTTCTTGACTCTATTCAGAAGTATAGTGTCATGATACTTTCTGTTTTTTCACATGTGGACAGGATAGAAGCCGGTGGTTTAAGGGATTTGTAAGTTCTTTTTAACTTCATTTGCTTGCTGGCTCTAATGAATTTCATACCCATCATTCATGTTGCCCTTTTCTGTAAAGTAAATCAACGTTGACCTATGTATCAATGGTTATATTTTATACCATTTTCAGCCTTGGGAAGAAAGAATGAAGACTGCTTATGAGCAAGGAACACTTGTGCTACTTGAAAACTTGGATCTATCTCTAACTTCAGGAGAGGTAGAGGTAATAATCATTCCGAATTTCTTGAATCTGATGAATTACTTGAAGATTTTGAATGAAGGAGCAACATTCTGTAAAAGGACTAGTATGCCATTAGTGTGTTTAATCCTGATGCGGTGTAGTTAATTCTTGCCATCAGCACGGGTTAATTCTTGCCATCAGCACGGGTTAATTCTTGCTTGTAATTTTCCAAGATATTGGTTTGGTCTAAATTATGATTTATTTGAATTATTTACAACCGAATTGTTAATTTTGAGGCTTTTGAATTGATGTGATTTCATGGTATGTTTTCTGGACTGTTTTTAGTAGTCATATTGTTTCAAATTGCCATTGCTAACCATTGTTATGCTAAAGCCCAAGTCGGATAAATTTGTGCACAGTGTTTATGATGTGCTGTCAACTATTGTTTTGCCCAGTTTGTTGTTTTTTATGTTCCCTTCCTCTCTGCTAACCACTTTCATGCTACTACCCAAGTCATATAAATTTGTGTAAAATCTTAGCTGTTATAGGCAGTTGTTGTGTTTATGATGTGCTGTCAACTATTGTTTTTTGTCCAGTTGTGGTATTTTTTAATATCTTCTTTCTTTTGTGTGCCCTCTTTTTCACTCATATTCATATGCTTTAGGTG